TCAAAATCTTCCTAGCTCAGCTATACTTACATTGTAATTAATTAGGACTAAAGTGGATGGTGCCTACCTTCTCCATAAATTAGGTTTCTCACTGTTTCTCACTGTAATTTTGCATTAATTGTAGTTCAAAATTTTTTTAGCATTTGAATTCAAGTATTTATAGAAATACTGATTCATGGTAAAGTTCAGTAGAACCATATGGCAATGCATTCATTGATACTATGCTCACTAAAAGACCTGAATTCATTTAAATTAGAACATTGCAGTAAAAAATTGCCTTATATAAAGATGTTTCATATACAAACATTTTTAATTAATGCTAACAAGTTTCTAAACAGTGCCTTATTTACTTCATTTGCCACTATCTTTGGCAGTCCATGGATCAATGCTCTTGGAAAAATTATAATATTAAACTAATATTTTCCATAGAAATAATAATCCAAAGAATAAGTCAAATAATTCACTAAAAGATATTATTCAATGAACAGCATTGAAATAAAAATTGAATATTTTGATTAAGCATTACCAGAAATATTTTTTGCATAAGGTTGGTCAAGTATTTGAATAAGCTCTTTAAAGAGCTTGTGGAATCTTCATCCTTGAAGGAGTCTGAGATTTATCTCAGCAGCTCAAGCCAAATGTCAACATTATCTAACTGGACCTGCTTTGGGCAGCAGGTCAGACCAGATGACCTCTGGAGGTCCCTTACATCTAAGTTATTCTACAGTTCCCCAAATGGTACCAAAGAAGGCACTTCATTTCAGTGTAATTATATTTACTGATGAATGCTACAAGACACTAGGTTTTAAGCAAATCCTCAATTATAAAAATAACAATAAATGCAGGCATTTTCAACTTAAACTCTCTTTGTGTAACAGTGGTAATACCTGTTTTACTGTATTTTTATCTAATAAATTACAAGCAAAATGTCAGTGTGCAAAAGAAATTATCTGTGTTGTTATTTATACATTTGTAACATGAATTGAGGCAATGGGACCAACTCCAGACAGCTATTAATTCTGTGTACCCAGACTCATCAAACATGCTTCAAAGCCAAGCTCATCATACAACAATCAGAGACAAGTTCATCCTGTGCAGAGCAGCTAAGGACTCTAGGTCAGTCTAGTTCAGAGAACATAACCCTGCTCTCTACAGGTTCCTGAAGGGGGGAAGTGGAGAATGAGGTGCTGACTTCCCTGGTACCTTGTGATAGGATGAGTGGGAATGTTTCAAAGCTGTGTCATGGAAGGTTCAGACTGGTAATTAGGAAGCATTTCATAAAAAAGGTGGTTAAATACTGTAACAGACTCCCTAGAGTGATGGTTGATGCCCAAACCCTGTGCTTAAGAGACATTTGGACAGGGCACTTAGCAAAATACTTCAAGTTTTGGTCAGCCCCACATTGGTCAGGCAGTTGGACTAGATTGTAGCTCCCTTCCAATGGTCCCTTCAAACTATTCCATTCTAGTCTAGTCAACCATAGAATCAGCTGAGTTGGAAGTGAACCATAAGGATCATTGAATCCAATTCCCAGTCCTGTACAGGACAGCCCCAAGAGTCACACCATGTGCCTGAGAACATTGTTCACATTCCTGTTGAACTCTGTCAGGCCGGTGCTAGTGACCACTTCTCTGGGGAGCCTGTTCCAGTGCTCAAACACCCTCTGGGTGATAATATCCAACCTAAGTCACCCCTGACACAACTTCAGGCCATTCCCCCAGGTCTGTCACTAGTTACCAGAGAGAAGAGATCAATGTCTGCCCCTCCTCTTCCCCTTATGAAGAAGTTGTAGACTGCAGTGAGGTCTCCACTCTGTCTCCTCTTCTCTGGGCTGAACACACCAAGCGCCCTCAGCCACTCCTCGTCTTCCCCTCCAGGGCCTTCATTATCTTTGCTGTACTCCTTTGGACACTCTCTGTTAGTTTAATATCTTTCTTATAATGTAGCACTCAAAACTGACGAATAAAAATGCTGACTCATATTCAGCTTTCTGTAGACCAGGACCCCAGGTCCCTTTCCATGGCACTGCTTTCCAGCATCTCATTCCCCAGTCTGTACTGTACATCCAAGGCTGGCCCAACCCAGGTACAGAATCCAGCACTTTCCCTTGCTGAATTTCATATGGATTTTGATTGCCCAGCTCCCGATTTAGTTGAGGCCTCTCTGCAGGTCCTCCCTGCCCTCAAGGGAGATAACAGCTCCTCCCAGTTTTGCAGTGTCTGTGAACTTGCTCAGTATCCCTTCCAGTCCTGTATCCAACTCATTAATGAAGATGTGGAAGAGCACAGAGCTGAGGAGCCCTGTGGAACCCCACTAGTCACAGGTCACCTGTCTGACATCACCCTATTCACTGTAACCATTTGTGCCTGACTCATGAGCCAGATGTCACCCATCACGTGATCTGTTTGTCCAGTTGTGTGCTGGACATTTTGTCCAGATTAATCCTGTGAGAGATAGTATTGAAAGCTTTACTGAAATCCAAAAAGATTACATCCACTGGCTGCCCTTGATCAGCTAGGTGGGTTACCTTTTCATAGAAGGAAATCAGATTTGATAAGCAGGACCTCCCCCTTAAAAAGCCGTGCTGACATTGTCTTTCAGGTGTTTTTCAATACCTCTGGTCTTCTCCACAACAACAGACACTCAAGTGAGTCTGTAAGGCCTGTAGTTTCTGGGATGCCCCTTTTTGCCCTTGTTGAAAATCAAGACAACATTCGCCAGCTTCCAGTCAGCTGGGACATCTCCAGATTCCCAAGACCACTCAAAAATAATTGTGAGAGGTTTTATGCTCTTTGAGGATTCTTTAACATATCCCATCAAGCTCTATAGATTTGTAGGGATACAGCTGGAGCAGCAGATCATGAACATTTTCAGGGACAACTGGGAGATGATCATTCTCACAGTCATGGTCTCCAGCTCAGAGGCTGAGATCCCCTTGTATCCATGTTGAACACAGAGGCAAAGAATGTGTTAAACGCCTCTGCTTTGTCCATGTCCCTGTTTGTGAGGTGATCCTTCTCATCCTGTTAAGGGCTAATGTTATTCTTACACTTCCTATTGCCATTAATATACTTGAAAAAAAACTGTCCCCCATAATTCTGGCAGGTTTAACTCCAGCTGATCTTTGGCCCATAAATTTTCTCCCTACAGTAACAAGCAGCATCTTCACATCTTCCCATGTCACCTGACCTTGCACCCACTGGTCACACATCTTTCTTTTTTCGCTTTATTTCCAAGAGAAGACTTTGTTCAGCCAAGCTGGCTTTCTGCCTCGTCTGCTTTACTTCTGACATTTGGGAATTGCCTGGTCCTGTTCCATTAGGACATGATGTTTAAAAAGTGACCAGAACTGATGGACTTCAGCATCTGCAAAAACCATTTTCCCAGGGGACCTCACATAGTAATTTTCTGAACATCCTGAAGTCTACTCTTCTCATGTCCAGACCTGAGGTTTTGCTTTCATTTTTTCTCCTGTTAACAGAAGTTTCAAACTTTTGGCAAGACAGCTGCCGATCTCCACTTCATTCATGAGATTGATTTTGCTGATAACAGTAGATCAAGGAGAGCATCTTTCTGAGTCATCTCCCTTAGGACCTGTTCCACAATGTTGTCATCCAGGATTCCAGGTTGTACCAGCTATATGATGCTCCCAAGTAATTTCTGGCAAGCTGAAATAAGCTGCCCTTATTGTCCATAAGGACAACAGCAATCCTTAACATTCTTTTCTCACAAACCCACAAATTTAGACAACCCAGTAAAGACAATAGGCTATGCAGCAGCATATCTTTCATGGCCCCTAGCTGTTGACTGTGAGTGAAGTTGGTATTTGCATACTCAAAAGCTCAGAAATCAAGCCTCGTACAAAAGTCACTCTGTTGGGCACCCCTCTCTCTCTGCATTAATATCTACATTTCCTTTTCTCTGCAAAGGTTGTACTGGTTGTAATAGTAACTTTTTATTCCCACACTGTTCAAACGTTCACGATGGTCACTAATTCCCCATGCATAATCCTGAACAAGAGAGCTCAGGTAGCAGCAAGAAACAGCACTTCACAAAGGATTACTCTGGCTTTACACAGCCCATGACAATTTTCTCAGAATCATCTTATTTCTGTAAATTTTTAAATATTAATATTAATGACAATTAAATTTTCATTATTAATATTCATTAAGTATGATGACACAATACCTCAGTTTTTCTGAGTTTGTTATCTGTAAACTTAGAAAAAATTAAGATCTTACGTACAGATGTCTCTGGAGTCACCAGAAATTTAAGGAGTTAAAAGCAAGGATAACATAACACACATTATCTATTATGTGCAGCAGTGCCATAATTGCATTGTCAGTAAGGTCTGCAAATGGATTTTATACATGAAAGCCAAATGTGTATGTTTTGTGGAAGGCTAGAAACAATCAATAAAATAATGGTACCAAATAATAATTACTAAAATATTCTGCAATTTTGCAGCCTCCAATCCACTTACACAAATTAGCCCTGCAACAACATCAGACGTATCATAACTATTTTGTTTACCAACATGGACTGTATCAAGGTAAAAAATATTCAAAGTAAGATCACTTTCTCCACTAGCTCACAGTGACTCATGTTCTTATTTAAGTAAAACAGCCATACAACAACACACCCAGCCATATGAAATGGAAATCAAAATTCTAAATCCATAAATGGACCAACAGATGTTTAATGCTATTGTGTATGTAGCTTATTTTTATTTTATTTCTTTATACTAATAAAATGAAACTACCTGTTTTCTTAATAGGAAACCTTTATTATGAATGTTTGTATTATATTTTGAGGGAATAAATATGCAGTAAAGCTACATCTTTATCCATCTATCTTTTCAGTTTATACACCATGGTGTTGCCTGCAGTTAAAAATAATCATAGCAAGAAGAGATGGCATGTTAAAAAACAAATACCAAATGTCATTAGCATACATTCAGATCACTGGGAGCATACAGAGAATACTGTTCAAATGCTTACCTTAACTATCCCACGGATATGCATTTTTGCTATCATCTCTGCAGTGTAAAGAAACATCAACAGAGTATCAAGAGCAAATGTCACATACTGGAGAGGCGGATAATGCTCGAAGGTTTTTGGAGTGTTCATACACACAGAAATAACACTGATGATGGCACAAATTCGTAGTAAAGAGTGTACCCACTGGAAAAAAGTAAAAAAGAAAAAAACAAAACCAAAACCTAAACATGAGAAATTACAAGATTGCTTTGATGTTCAAAAAAACCTCAAATATTTAACTTTCATAACTTATCCTGGCAGTCTTTTGAAAATACATGTCTGTGTCCTTTTACATCACAATCCACATATTAAAGGTCTTCAACCAAAAATAAGCACTCCTAAATTACTTATACATATATAGACATGTATATACTTTTATTAGTTAGTTAGTGAGGTTGTATAAGAAAATACAAATTAAGAGCCATGAAACTTAGAACAAGGATTCTATAATTTCTACTTTGTGGCACTTGCAATTCAATTTCTTTTCAAATGACAACCCATCATATTTATGGGTAGACAATAGTCAGAATTAGCTGAAGCTGGGAGGATGGATTAAATAAAATTTATTTGTGGAAAAATTTAGCTCAACACTCAAGCAGAAATTATTTTTAAATCAGAGTCACAGGATTAAAAACATCCTTCTGATTATGAAAATAATAAATATAAAAAGGATAAATATAAAAGAGACCATGTCACAGATAGCTACTTCTTTCAGGATTCATTTTTGTTCCAATCAAGTTTTGTTGCTATAGGACACCAGTTCATTTTTATTACTAATTAGGACTCAGTCCCACCCCTCATTGCCAGTCAGAGAGGGAGGTGTAACTGAAAAGCAGAATGTATCAATATAGAGATTTAGGGTTGGATTTTTTCCTTTTAAATCAAAATATGATTGAAACACCTTGAAGTCAGGCAAGTATAAAGAATCATAGTTGGTAAGGCCGTACCTTACCTATGTAAAATTGCAACAAAAAGGAAAAGATACTTCAGAAGAAAAAAAATCTTTAAACAAGAAAACCTGAAGCATATTTATCAAAATTTTTCATCTGCAGAAAAATTCTACACTCATTTACCGTAAACCTCAGATGTTTTGATATCCAAAAGATTCAAGAACAGCCATCTAATTTAATACTCACTGTTCACTCACTTAAATGTAACGATATCTGTCATGAATTGAATAGTTCTATCATTTGCATTCTCTGAGCTCAGATTAATAATTTGGAAGCAGAAGGCACCTTATGAATGATCTCCACCATCCTGTTAACATCCACTTTGTTTTGAACTTTGTTTCAACTGATACAATTAACATGAGTATTAAAGTATGGCTTATAAAAAACTTGTTCTCTGACACAGTAAAATGCCAGTACTAAAACACTAAGCAATATACAACTAGTCCATCAGCACGAGAAGAAAAAATTATTCCATGAAAACCTCATGCATTGTGTGATGAGAAATGTAGGTAAATACCCATAATATATTTCTGCAATGACATTTTGAATTTATTACAGCAACCAATACAAACATTCTACTTAAATAACAGACAGACAACACCCATATATTAATTCATGCTAAATAGTTTTAGGTGTTAAAACTCAGCAGCAAAGCTGAGGGGAACTGGCATCCCTACTACAAATGAGATGATTTTTTCCTTAAATAATTGCAATGCTAAGAACAGGTATTATTTCAGAATATTTTACCTCCCGCTTTCAAAAAGTAAAAAATTATACACTAAGAGAAATGTGAAAATGTCTTCTTTGCAAAACTAGAAATCATTCACGGTATTGGAATCCTGAATCCATGCTCACTCCTGAGCAAATAATTCTATCATTGTAACTATATTTACATTGTAAAGACATTTTCTTAATACTGTACAGGCTATTAATAACTCCACTCCTAATGAAATTTTCCCCAGTTTCAAGTTGCCAGACACTTTTACACCTCTCTTTTTCTCAAGGCAGGTTTTAGGTTAAATGGTATGAGAAAAATGAGATCCGTACTTCAAAATAAACAATGAAAATAACAACACTTTTATATTCAAAAATGGTTTGAAGGAGAGATTTGAAAATCAAAAGTGCTTATTGATGGCTACCACTTCAGCAACAAAATCCTCCTTTTAAAATCCTTTTCAAAAGCTCATTTTATGAACTTGTAATTTCAACGAACAGATTAGGAACCAGAGACCTTGAAAGGATGGCTGTTTTAAAAGAATCAATCAGATGAACTGGTTGGAAAATACTGATTCATCAATCCCATAATTTTGGAACAGCCAAAAGAAACAATTTTATTTAGTCTTTGATGTTTTTCAAAAAATTAACTGGTACACAAGCAACTATAGCTCAAAACTTGTTTCTGACTAACATCTAATTCAGAATTTTTGTAGAAGACACGTTTCAACAATTCAAGTTATTTAAAATTAGTAATTACATAAAGAGATACCTACTGGTTTGTTAATCCATAGAATATCTGCATTGTCTGACAAAGATTCATCAGGTCCAAAATCCGTAACTGGCTGGGCTTCCACCCTTGAACTCTGTTTCCTTTTTAGCATCCTGAACTTAAGTTCTCTTATCTATAATCATGAAACCTCCTTGAAAGAAAAAGACAGAAAACATTAATTCACTTGAGAAATTTTACAATGCATTTTGAACTGTTTTATAAATAACCTAAAGCATTTTGTTTTCATGTGCACTTCTTTTGTATTTACTGATTAATAGGATATTGATTTTATTAAATATAAATCACTGACATGACACTTGTTAGTTTACAAAAAAATTGCACAAAGGTATGCAACACAATTACCAGAAATTTAGCAACACTGACAAAAAATTTGTTCTAATATGCAAAGAATGCTAATGCTGTGAACTTCAACACAGAATAATCATTGGACAGATTTCACCTGGAGCTATTTAATTAAATGGTGACATTTCCATTTATTACACTAGGCCAAAATAAATCCCAACATGCCAAAGGCAAACAGACAATGTTAAGCAGCCAATAGATGCTAAAGTTATTTACCGAAATCAGAAGAGCCTTTTTGCTATATACTACTATCAACATGTATTTTTCTAATACTTTTTTTGATGTTAACAATTATCTATCCAACAGCCAGCCAGCTGGCTGTCTGTGGGGCATGTGTTGGCACATGGAAGGACTGAGGAAAACGTGTTGTTTCCACAAGGTCAGGCTGCATCGGGACATTCCTGCATGGGTGGCACTGACTGAGCTTTCTGTATGCTCAGCCATGTGAGCCACAACTAGGGGAGAGCAGCAAGGTTGAGTTAGACCTTAGTATTGACTTTCCCACAGACAGTTCATGAACCCCAGTGTCTAAAGAAATTTAAACAGTTGAGGAAGATATATTCTCCTGAGAAGTAGCTGTCTGTCCATGAAATACAATTCTATTGTTCATTAATTACAACCCCTTAGAGGTTTTGGTTTTTTTTTTTTCAGCAAAGTTGGGGAGGAAGAAAGCAAGTTCTTGGGATCTTGTTCTGGACCTTTACTTTGAACCAAGTGTTTGCAGGCGACACTGCCCTATAACTATCAAAAGTTTGTCATAACTAGCATAAGATAGAATCACAGAATGGTTTGAGTTTGAAGAAACCTTTAAAGATAATCTAACCCAACTTCCATGTCATGGGCAGGGACATCTTTCACTAGATAAGGTTGCTGAAAGCCCTGTCCACTTTTCAATGACAGGGCTATCACAACTTCTCTGAACAGCCTGTTCATATGTCTTACCACTTTAATTTTAAAGAATTTCTTCCTTGTGTCCAACCTAAATCTTGCCCTTTTCCAGTTTAACTCTGTTGCTCCCTTGTGCTGTCACTGCAGCCCCTGGTAACTACAGCCACAAGTATCACAATGATGTTCTCTGACATGAACGCAGGAAACATTGGTCCCTATTAGCTAGAGGCAACAGTGGGCTCAGGACCGCAGAAGTGCCCGTGTGCTTGGTCTCAGCTAGCCTTTTCAATCCCATGGGCTGCTGCTTTATGTCAAAACACTATGCTTGCATCCTTGTCTGTATCTTCTTTTTAGCTGTCATGGCAAATGTAAACCCTTAATCTTATTCCAAGTCCCTCAAAGTCTACCCCTCCTCTGTTTTCTCTTTCAGATTCAAGAGGTTGGTTCCTGTCTCTGTAAAACCAAGTCTGAACCATTGGTCTTTGTACAAACCACACAGTAACAGGGCTGAGGTCTTATACTAACATTCCCAGCTGGAGGAGCTGACATTATGTAATAAATGATTTTTAAAAACAAACAGGAAGAATCTAAGGGCACAAAATAAGGGACAACTTCTGACACCATTTTAAATGGTCATTCACAGCAATCTTAGCACAAGTAAAACTGGTAAGCTGTCACTGAAAACATGCGAATACTTTAAAATTAATATTATATATTAATAAACCTTCTCTAACAAATGAAGAATGAAATAATATTGACAGGCTGCATGCTTTCTCCATGTTCATATTCAAGTTTCATGCTCCCACTTCTGTTTTGTAACTTCCTCCTTTTCAGATTCTTTTTTTCCCATTTTCCCCCATTTATTTCCCAGTGTAATGGAGTGACCTTTTTTCTCTATTTATACCAAAGCACAACTGGAAATCCTTCAAGTCTCAGAGCCGCTAGGGTGCCTTTTGAGGTCATGAAACCTTCAAATGGCTACATTTAGCATAGTGGTAAGAAGTTACTGCAATGCCTTGGGACCTGAATATCTCAAAACCTTACAGGAAAAAAAAAACACTAAATGTTTCTTACAAGTATGTTCTTTTGACAAAATAATAATTTTATGTTTACTATTTCTGGTAATAGTTATTACTGTGCTTTAGTAAGCTTTTAAGAAAAGATGTAGCAGTAAACAGAGAATTAATAAGTGCAATCAATAATTATTAGAAAGGTTAAGGATATGAAAAACTGGTATTTGTTTAGCCAGTTACTGTTTTTTTTTTGGTTTTTTTTTTTTTTTTTTTTTTTTTTTTTGGTAATAAATGATGGTTTAAATAACAAGTTATGGCCATTTGGGTAAAAAAAGCAAATAATTATCAACAGTCTATTAGAAAAACTATATTCTTTTTATGCTTTTCTCAGTATTGCTTATTTATATATTTGATATGTGGAAGATCAGCCATACCCTTCTAATAAAATTCACACTTCTCCTTTTACCCAGTGCCTCTTTGTTTGTTCAAGATATTTTTAATTGGTTCAGGCACAGAAAGTAACATGAACTTTAGATGTTCATAATAAATGTCCATAATAGATTCAATTCACATACTTAAATCACAGCAATCACAGAATATTCTGAGTTGGAAGAGACCCAGAAGGATCGTTAAGTCCAACTCTTAAGTGAATGGCACATATGGATATCAAACACACAGCTTTGGCATTACTAGCACCATGCTCTGACCAACTCAGCTAATCAGTGTTGTGACTAAAAAAATTAGAATTCTTGTTTTTGAGATGCAGCCTTGAATAAACAAATCTCCATGTATATAAAACCAAATGGAAGGGAAGAAATGTTACAGAATAAAATAATCAGCTTGCTTACTTCTCTACTTGAAATGACCAGAAATACACACAAAATTTCAGAATAAAGATGACAAACCAATATTTTGTAAATGGTCTTTAGCAAGATTATTGAAACTAAAGCATAGTTGCTTTCAAGCTTTTATGCAACTGTTTTTGCTGTTCTCACTACTTTTAGTTTTTTTCTGTGTGCGGCAATTTCAGAATTCTGCCATGTATGTAAGGAATTTTAACCCTTGGACTACTAATCCCTTCTGCACTTGTTTTTTCAGGGATGAACCAGCTGAAGGATGAAGAGAAGAGGAGCTGTGCATGAACTCCTTCCAGCATGTGACACACAGCGAGCAGCGCACCAAGCTGTGCCAATGGGGAGGATGTAGCCCTCCCTAACCCTGATACAAATCCACCCCTGCAGTTCCTGCGTTGATTCCGACATACGTCATTAGGTCTTTCTTTGATCACAACCTGTTATTAATGTGAAAGGCTTAATACATTTCCAAGGACGTATTTCTAGCTGCAATGTTTTTAAGATATACTGGGTGCAGGGCAAAGACGGGTTCTTAAGACAGGAAAATATCATGGAGTTTCGGGGCTACAACCACTTCATATTTCTTTGCAGTACCTTCTTTATAGCAGCAATGAAAATTCACATTGCAGATGTCAACCTTTTCAGGGAGCAACGTACTGTCTTTTAAATTACTCCTCTATTTTTAGAAGAAAAGGCAAATTAAAAGGAATAAAACTAAACATAAAATTACTCACACTCTGAGCCCCTTAGATCCATTAGGGCAGTCTTGTTCTCTTCCTTTCTATCTCTGAACTTGCAGGCGTGTTCTGCAACCTCTACACTTTCTAAACCACCCCCATCCACTAAATTTGCAGTTTCTGCTAAAATGAAAGTATGCCAGGACAATGGTTGGGGTGAACATAAGACCCACTGTGCACTTCGGAAAAAAAAAAAAGGAAGAAGGTATAACCCAGTTTGCAATATTGCCACAAAGTGCAAGACACTCCTGATGGAAATATGCAATTCCTAAAAAAATCAAAAGACAAATTTTAAAAAGTAGCTGATCCTCCACAGCATCAAAAGCTGAGAAATCTGAGTCTCACTTATAAAGCAAGCTCACTGTATATAGCATAATCTGCTCAAAAGATCTCTATCACAAAGTCAGGAAAACATGCTTATAAAGGCTCTGGCTAACAAAGAAGGCAGCTGAAAAATGACTTCACAGAAATATCAACAGGAAAACAAAGCAGATATTCCTACCTACAACTTACAGAGAGAGAATTCAAGAATCAGATAAATCCTTGGAAGGCCTGGCTTCCAACATACTTTTTTCTTACTGCCTATTGATTTTGTCACCTGAGATCATGTGAGCGCTGCCTGAATGTCCTCCAAAGGCAGGCCACCAACAAGCATTCTCTTCAATTCTCTCTTCTTTGAAAATGTCAACTCTGCTTCCAACTTCTCCCAGAGCACGGACACAGAATGTGGCACATACACTTGAAGACAATCGTTAGAAATGTGAGAGCTAAAATGGGTGACAGGAAGATGATGTGAACACCCATACACACGGCATGATGACAAAACCCCATTTCCATACCATACATTAAAAAAGCCCAAAGTACAGGCTACCTTAAATAAACTGATTGCTCTTAACTTCAGTATGCATGACATGGTTATAGAAAAAAAATTAAGTTCTCATTCTTTCATCAATAGCCTTCTCCTTTCCTTTATTGCAAATTGACACTGCTTCTCTATTGCCTGCTCCCTGCATCCACGGGTTCTTCCATCCCTGATTTTGGGTATGGGTACAATTAAATGGCATTTCAGCATTTTTTTTCACGTAGCAAAAATCTAAGTGAGCAAGCTAAATATATAACAGTATAGACATATTTATTTAAGAAGGGTAAAGACAGTATTCCAGTGGATACGATCACACGGCACATTCCACCACAGATGCTATTAACTCATAACTAATTTCAAGTAAGAGCTTATTTCAGTACTTTTTCTTTGTGTGGTATCATTATTGTATCTGATTAAATATCTGAAAGATAGTTCTGAAAGATCTCTTTGTTATTTAAGCATGATACACCGCTAATAACTGACCAAACTTTAGTATTTATTAAAAACAAAGCTGTTCGCTCACAAAGAAGATGCACTAAAGGAAATATTCTAAAAATCAGTTACATTCATATTTTCAAATCATTCACATGTAGGAAAGAACGACTGATATCTTGTACTTACTAACAGGATCTCAGACCAAAAATACCAGGACTGAGGTTCAAAACTGTGAAAAGTTAAAAAATTTCTTAAGGCTGCCTATGTAATAACATCTAGTCTGAAAACAGACAGGTGTTCAGACTTCAGCTCTTCACTTTCAATGCATTTCTTGTGTTTTCCATTATTGTTGGCTAAGGACAATGCTCTCACAATATTTATTTCTCATATGTAAATTTTTTCTCTCCGATGTCGCCAAAATAATACCCAGCAAGCAGAATCAAATATCTCATTGCACACAAAAGCAGATCTCTTGTGAGTCAGATATACAGTCTACTGCTACCATCACACAATATTGTTCTTTTTACTTTAACCCTTTAATGTAGTGAAAATACTTTCCCAAATACATTTGCACAGTTTAACAGCTGGTTTACTTTGAAAGTTCACTAGGACTGTGGGCCAGCTCCCCATCATTTTCTGACCTGGGATGTGTCAACTGCAATGTAGTTGATATATGTCAGAGTCCATTGCTGACAAAAAGACACGTAGCAACAGCCTTAGTAAGAATCATGCTGGCCTAAACCAGAGTGTTCTGGAATTTTCTTTTGCAGCATAACCCTTCTGGAAATTTCTTTTGCAGCATAACCCATGTCCAGGTGGAAAATGTGTTTAGCTCCTTATGAACATAAGGGGATAGGCAGTGACAGGTCATTGATTGAGTGGATTCAGGGAGCAACCCATACTCTCTTTATAATACCCCACTTTCAGTAACATACTCAGAGTACTGTGGATCAATTTTTCAAGGTTTTAAAGGAAGGAATTCCTTCCCAGAATGATACACAGGTGGAAAGGAGCTTCTCTGTAGGCAGATGGATGGCAGCACGCCTGCTTAAGTGATTATTTTAATGTTTCTAGGATTTTGTTGTATCATTAATTATACCCTAGTATGCCTACAACCTTGTATATCAATCTTCTCACCATTTAAATACATAAAGATTAAAATAAATGGTGGTCATATTCTTTTAGATTTGTTACAATTTTTGATAAAATAATAATTAAAGAAACTGAAATATTCTAGATCATCATTCCTTGACAAATTCTTCCTTTTCTATCCTTTAAGAAACTGCCAGCAAGAAAGTTAATGCCTATATACCTTAAACTTCGAAGTCCTGAAAACAGAACTAAGACTTTTTTTTTTTTTTTTATCCTCTTACCTTCCCTTTGAAACAAACTAATTGACATGCCTTTGCTGCAGGGCAGTTCCTAGAAGTTGCACCATAACCTCTGGTACTTTATGTACTGTACGCAAAGGCTTTATTTTTGAGAGAAGATTAAAAAAAAAAAAAAAAAGGAAAACGTTTTCATAGAATCATAAGCTAGTTCAAGCTGGAAGGACATCAACTCTGCTCTTGTGAGACCGCACCTAGATTCTCCAGGGACCCAGGTCCAGGGCCTGTTGAAATGAGTTCAGAGGAGGCCACAAATATGGGCTGGAGCACCTCTCCCCTGAAGATAGGCTGAGACAGTTGGAGCTGTTCAGCCTGGAGAAAGCTCCAGGGAGACATCAGAGCAGTTTTCCAGTACCTAAAGGGAGTTACAGTCCTCGGGGAGGGACTTTTCACAAGTATACAATAGCAATAGGACAAGGGCAAATGGCCTTAAGATAAAAGAGGGTAAGTTTAGATATTAGAAAGAAATTCTTTACAGTGAGGGTGGTGAGGCACAAAAACAAGTTTTCCAGAGAAGTTGTGGATGTCCCATCCCTGTCAGTATTCAAGACCAGGCTGGATAGGGCTTTGAGCAATCTTGTCTAGTGGAAGTTGTTCCTGCCCACAGCAGCGGGGCTGGAACGAGATGACCTTTAAGGTCCCTTACAACCCAAACCATTATTTGGTTCTATGATCTCAGAAGGTTTCCCATCGTACCTCCTGCTGAAGCAGTATCAACTCTGGTGACAGCCCAAGCTATTGCAGTTTGCTCAGGTTACTCTAGTCTGGTCTTAAAAACCTCCAGCAAAGGAGGTTTTTTTGAGCAACTTGTTTCATTACTTGATTGTCCTCACCACAAAGGGGAAATAAAAAAGTGATAAGAGATGAAAATATCACAGAAAATAAAGAAAGGAAAAATAAGTTACCTAGTAGAATCAAGACAATTTCCAACTGTAGTTTAGGACTGGTATTTTGCAAAGCAAGATGTTCAGCAGTATTTAACCAAACCAGGAAACTTCAGCTGAAATAAAAGATGCTATGAAGGTAAGGAAAGGGAGAACAGAGAAAGGTTGAAAAGGAAAAAAATATGGTTCAACCTCTAACACCCACATTAGGCTGACTTTACTCTTTATCCCCAAAAGATTTTGTGCTCAAAACCTACAAGAGATACAACCATGGAAGCATTCTATTAGTAACATGGTAAAAAATATTTTTGAATGCAACACCTCTGGTTTACTCATAAGCTCATCACAAATCTTATTTGTAACAAACTGAACTCCTAAATACCTAGGCAGGTGGGGAGAAAACCAAACTCTCCAGAAGCCAGAACCAGTTCTATCTCGTCATGAGCTACTCATGCCCCAAGAAGACATTCTCCTCTTTAGAAGTCTTCTAGGGCTAGGTCCAGCAGCCCAATAGTCCCTACAACACAGTGTGATAGCATTCACCTTCTACTGTGAAGGTTTAAGACACAAAAAGTCTTTGAATCAAAGATAGGTTTGGATGAATACCATACAGATCTACATAGTGCTCATGGCACCAGCAGCGTCCTGGAGCTAGAAATAAGTCAAAACAGCTTAAGTTATATTTCCAGGTGGTATAGCTCAATTAACTGTGATGGACCACATTTCAGATTAAAATAAAACAAATGCACCAAACAAGGAGACAAAAGCACAAATTATATGCCAATTGTTACAGTTCTGAAAGTTACCAAGCTCAGATGGTAAAGCAAAACAAAAAAAAGCCAACGACCCACCAAATGAAAATAAACCCTACTGTTCCTAAAAGTCTCCAAAGGTATATGCATATACTTGAAGACAGCCAGAGACTTCTAGGATCCACTTAGACCAACTTGAAGAAATGTGGTTTCTCAATCCATTCCCGAAGTTAAGAAACTTCAGCTTTGTGATTCAAGCAGCAGAGCATAGTTCATTGTTAATATATGTAATTTCTCTATAGATCAGTCAAAGGGCAGGTGGAATAGGGCTGCTGCAGAAGAAAATGAAAAGGAACAACAAAATGAACCAGGCAATTGATGCTTAAGATAAACACAAAAGACTCAAATAGCATTTAGTTAGTGTTTTCTGGGTGTAAATATTTGCCTGGATGCAAAAACAGTTACCTTACCAAACCATAGCTGACTTAAAAGCCACGTTTGCACATTAAGGCCATCAGAAACCTTGATCGTTTCTAGAAATATGTCTCTGATTTTACTTAGAATACTAAAATAAATAGATACCAGTAACAAAAAAATATTAAGCATCTCTCTCTGTTCGATGTACGAACCCCTGACACTGCATGTTAAATAGATGTAGTCCAGGCCTGGGTACATCGCTCCCTCCAACCACGCCAAGCCCGCAGCCCCTGCGAACCAGCCAAACCTCCCCTCAGGGAGGGAGCGCTCCGCGGCCACCCCCGTCCCCATCCACGACCCCCCCACTAAATGCGTGCCCCCCGAAGAGGCCTGCTGGCCGCTCGGCCCCGCTCTGCCGCAGCGGCGAGGCTGCGGAGGGCCCCGGGCCGCGGGGAAGGCCCCCGGAGCGCCCCCTCCCACCGCGGGGGAAGGAGGGCCGGGGCGGGCGATGCGGAGGGCGCTGCCGCCCCTTCCCCGCGCCCCGCCGCCGGGCGGGCCTCTGGCCGCGCCCGTCCCTTCCTTGGCAGCCGCCGGCGTTCCCGGCAGGGTCGCGGCGGCCGCCGGCACCGAGGGGCCGTGGAGGGGGGTGGGGAGGCGCGGGGCCCCACCGCGCTCCGGGAGCGAGCAGCGCCCGCCGCCTCCGACCTACCGCCAGCATCTCCCTTCATGGCGCGGTCGGGAGCGGCCCCCGCGGGTGTGCGGGCGCTGCGGTGCCGTGCCGGCCTCGCACGCCGCCCTCCCCGCGATGGATCGGGGCGGCGGGGCCCGCCCGGCGCCGGCCGCGTTCAGTTTCTCGGCAACGGCGGCGGGGGCGGGCGGGGAGGGAGCAGGTGCGGAGGAGACGGTGTCGACCGCGCACCGGCGCCTCGGAATAAACAAGACCCTCGCCTTGCTCAAGAGCCCGGCTGGGAACAGAGGTGGCTTAGCGGCTCCGCCGCCGGGGGTGATCCCCACGGCGGTCTGGAACTGTGCTCGCTGCGCCCCGAAACACACGAGTGGTCCCGGCCCGGGCCGGAGCCGCCGGGCGGTCCCTAGGCTGAGCCGCGCTGCGCTCTGCCGACAGCAGCGCTGGCCGAGACACCACTTGCTGCGGCGGTTTCGTGGGGCTTTACTTCGGGCTTCAACTTTTTTGTTTCTTGGTTGGTTTGGGGTTTGCTTTTCAATTTTTTCATTATGCTTTTCAAGTGCTAGGATAGGTTATTTATTTTGGTAAGAAACCCTATTTGTATATCTTAGGGCGTTTTTTAGTGCTGGCAAACTTCTTTGCCCCTGCTTCACTGGGTGGTCTGGTTAATTTTCAAATTGCTGAAGAGCCATGTAAAAACCCAGTCTCGAGCTCCACAGTGAAATAAATTAATAAAAATGTCTTCACTTGTTGGGGTAGATGGTCTTAGGGGTCTTTTCCAGCCTAAATGAGTCTATGAAAGAGATGCCTCAAATAAACAGATTAAGAAATACTTGGAAAATTGTTTCTGTAAGTCAGGGTGACATGTTCCAATCTCTATTTTATCTTCTTGAACAATTTTTTTTTTTTTAATTTTGTGGAAAATTTATGTTTAAATGAAACTGTATGGTGGGGAATGTGAGCCTATAACTTTCTGGAGACGGTAAAGATGTGGGATAGGATTCAAAAGACAAAGCCCTTAGCAAAATACCCCAGAAAGCTGAAGGAAAGTGTATGGCATCAATTGTATTAGGTTCCTTTGAATTATATCTATTTGATGCTGGCAACCAAAACTAATAAGCCAGTTAGGGAGTTGGCCTCAGGATTACAGATGCAGTCCTGCCAGCACTACTTACATGTATTACCAGCATTAGCAATACCAGTAAATTTAAGCGCCTAATTTTAGTGTTTGCAGTTTTTGATAGCAGTCAGCTGATGTTTCATGAGAAAAAATTTGTAAAGCAAAACAATTTAGGAATAAATGTGCTTATAAATAATACTCTTCCTATTTTGTCTCTTCCTCCCCACTTAACGTTTCATTACTTGGAATAAGTTGCTAGGCAGCATTATGCTGTTGGTGATAGCATCTCATAAATGAAAGCTGACAGTTGCAAACAGTGAAACATTGCAGTTATAGCTAAACAAAATAAATGAACATTTGCCAGCGGATGTGACTTTGTGTAACATTTTTCCTATGGATATACTGGCCTCTGAAAAATAACTCTCGATGGAACAATTTTCCAGTTGGAAGGGACCTCAGGGGGCCATCTGGTCTGACTGATCTGCTTAAACCAGGCGCAGAGATGAGATCACATCAGCTTGCTCAGGGCTTTATCCGGTTTGGTCTTGAAAACCTCCCAAGACAGAGACTGCACAGCCTCCCTGGTACTTCTGTACTCCAGCCTTCTGTACTGGACCATCCTCGTGCTGAAAGATTTTTTCCTGACATGCACTTGGACCCTCCCTTGTCAGCAGTCTCTGCTCCTGCAATGCACCCTTGGGAATTGCCCAGCTTTGTCCTCTTGACAGCTTCCTCATAGAATCTGTCAGACTGCTCCTAGGTGCCCCCAAACCCATCCTTCCTTCAGGCTGAAAAAGCCAAGCTCCTTCAGCCTCTCCTCATGGTGCAAATGCTCCAGTTCCAACTGCCTTGGTGGCCTGACACTGAATTAATGTATTAGCATCTGTCGTGTGTTGGAGATAGGTTCAAAATATGCTGCAGTAATTTAGATATTGTTTAATGAGTTCCTAAAAAGAAGGATTTCTTTCCTTACTCATGGTTTGTATTGTATAAAATACGTTTCCTTATGTATTTGGCACTTCTCCTTTTACCTGGTGTTGTATTAGGTAACATATTTTTACTACCTGCCCTTACTCTGTGAAGCATGAGCTGCTAATGGGGACCCACACTTTCAGCAGAAGGCTGGATTCTCTCTGACAGCCTGTCTTGAGCACAACTGGCATCAGATGATGCTAATGCTGGAAGAAAGGATGTAGCCGTTGATACTTTGATGTAGCTGCCTGTGTGCAAAGACAAAACAGTAGTCTTCAGTACATAGAATTGTGCAGATTCTGAAGGTCTTCTGTTTGCAAGGAAAAGCCCTTTCTTGCTTTTCTATTTAACCACAAATTTACTTTCAGACATGGCACATGAAAAATAATTATTAACATTTTAGAACTTGAGTGGCGTACAGGAGACACGTGAGGACAAAACTTAAGTATCTATAAAATTGTTGATATAATTTTGCAAAGAACCTATTATTCCTTTAAAGTCTGCAACAATGTTTAGTATTTATGACTGAAGTCTTTTTAAAATTCTGATTTAGGAAATTCACACTGACCTACAAAGCTAGCCATAAACATATAGATAAAAACAGAATTTGGGAGTTAATCTTACAGTATTACTTTACAGTAATGTTAAATAGGTCAAAAGAAAATATATTTCCTAGTAAAGATTTACCTCTCATCTCTATAAATAAACCTGATAAAGGAATTTCCTTATTCATCCTTCAAACTTCAACACGTTTGAAATTTGCCATGGCAGAATGTCCCTTTTAAAAGAAAATTTAAAAAGGAAAATTCAGAAGATTTAAAAAGGAAATTCCAGAAGAGTTGTACTGAGAATTCAAGGGGAAAATTCTCTATCTTACCTATAGCTTTCATTTCTGTAACATAATCTGGAAGCACAACAAAAAAAGGAAAAAGGGGAATTCAAAGCATCTATTCATTCTACACGTTTCCTTAGAGAATTTGGATAGCCCTCAATTCCTGGTTTTACTTCTGAATTTATTTGAACTTTATTTGCTTTATTGTCCTTACTTTCCCTAAGTATCTGTTAAATAGTTGAAGAGTAATGTAAACAAATTTTAAAAATATGCCAAAGAGCTGATCTTACCAGGATTGCCATTGTTGGAATTTGATTTACCTCTTATGAAAGAACACAGTGTTTGATCAGATTTCAGACTGTCTATAATGACTAAAAGAATTCATGAAATACTAATTTTGAAATTATGCTTGAGCTTTTAGAAAAGGTCACAAAAATATCATTTAGCAATTCAGAATTAAACTTCAGACACAAAGGAAGATTTAATAATTTTGGCATAGGATACAAGTCAAAACTTGCCAAATTCCTGCCTGTTGCTCTTTATCCTCAGGGTGCCCAAGTCCTTAGTCATCTTAATGATGGTTACCACAAAGTTCTCCCATAGTCTGGAGTCCTCCTCTGCACATGCTGAGCAGCTCCCTGGTGTTAGCGGGGCCCCATGTGAGTCAGATGAGCTGAGCAGCTCAGTTTGTTTCCACCTTTGTGCCCTTTATGGCTCTGGCTAGTGGTGGTTTCGCTCAGAAGCCTGTAACCATAACAGAAATGGTCACAGAGCAACATCAGACAAGTGACATCAGCAAGAGAAACTCAGTTAACACTCATGAGTGACTTTGATTGGGATGGGTTAAAAACTGTCATTTTTGAGTGTCTGTGACATGTGTCAACATTGATCAACCAGAATAAAGGATATGGAATATGGTTTTCTTAATTTAACACCTTTGAGGAGAGGCCAAAGTCTGCTGCTTACTGTGTGTAGAATTAGTTTGCTTTCAGTAGGTACAGAGTTCTCAGAAGAAGGTCAATAGTGGTGTTTTCCCACACTTTTTTTTTCTTAGTTTCTGTCTCTCCTTCATTTTTTGGTATAACAGCAAGCAGTGCAAGACAGAGCATTGAAACAAGATGGTTGCTGTTGCCCTGGAGAATCTGGCGTGCATGTGTTCAATTTAGGCACTCAACGTGAGTTATTAGAGTTCTGCCCTGAAAAAGTCAGCAGCATCTATTTTTTAAATTTGCTGTCCTTAGGAGCAGCTCTTTGGTCAAAATGATGAAAATGATCCTTCATTGTAACTTATTCAGGCAACTAGTTAAAAAGATCACAAATAGTATTTTCCACTATTTTTGATTTTTCAAGATTCCCAGCATCAAGAAACCTTATCCCTTTGAGAAATAAGGCACAAATTGAACAGAAAGTAATAATTTATGGTGAAAAATTTTTATGCCTTTTATTTCCTTTCTTGGGCTCTTCACTATTACTGTTAGCTTGGCTTATGACAGAGCTTTACTTGCTTTCTGAAATAAATGTTAAATAGTTCAAATGCAGTAGACTGGGTTTTAAAATGCACTATTGTTGCTGGCATTTTGGGCTTTCTTGCAAGATCATGCTTAAATATATTCTGCTTCCTTAAAGCCTCTGTAAAAGCAGGGTATTATTGCTGTGTAGAGGAATTCACTAGCAAACACTGAACAAACAAAAGACCTACCAGCTATTTAAAATTTCAACTGAGGCATGAAGGAATAAGCTAAGGTTTTACCCTAGAGTATAACAAAACAACATCTTGATTAATGTTGACCTATGAACTGTTTGGGTATCTAATATTCTGTACTATTCGGGCCAGCTACATTCAGACCAGCTCAACTTTTATCTTGTTCTAACCTTGATCCTGTAACTCCAAAAGCTATTTGTATTCCCTGTGTGATACCATCAGCTGTCCCAGATTCCATGTCATGTCAGCAAAATGAACAAGGTTTTCAGATCCGTACAGTTCTGGTGTACTCTGTCTCCTGCTCCCTTCCAGGGATGGCATTGACCAGCACAGTGATGACTCTCGGCAGTTGCACGCATTTCTGAACTGTTCAATTCAGACATATTTTAGTTAACTCCATCAAATAGTTTTTGCTGCATGACTGTTAAAGTGGTTTGCATAAGATCTTTACAGCCACCTAGTTTAGTGATTCTATATCTTTCACAGACTAATCACTCAACACTTAAAATTCTCCTTGTTCCACATTTTATGGAGGAGAAATAACTTGCTTGATACGTGGAATTTTTAACTTCTGGTTAATTTTAGAAAATTTTGATGTAGCTGAATGCCTCTGCATTTAAATGCTTCAGTCTCCACTCTTACAAACCCATGCTGTTACTAAAATGCCTTCAATGGAAACCCAGGAGGAATATTTGACAGATTTTGATGGTTTACTTTTTTTTTTAGCTTAGACTGTTTACTTTATGTGCATTTTGATTTATTTTATTAAAAAGAAATTCCATAAGAATGGCATGGAATGTGTTTTGCAAAGCTGATGGCTTTATTAAGTGACAACAAAATTAAAACGTTCACTGTAATGAAGTAGTAGACAGAGTCCATCTGCCTCTCCAAACTGAATAAAAGCTTGCTCAATAGCACATTATAACATCAGAGTTATAGAATTATGGAATATTTGAGGTTGGAAAGGATCTCTGGAGATGGCCTAGTCTAACCCACCTGCCCGGAGCAGGACAGCCTAACATATGTTGCCCAAACCCTGTCCAGGTGGCTTTTGACTATGTCCAAGGGTGAAGATCTCACAACATTGCTGGGCATTCTGCTCCAGCATGAGACCACTCTTAGAGTAAAAGAGCTTTTTTCTTTTTTTTCTTCCTTATTTTTAAATATTCTTATTTCATTTATAATAAAAACAATTCTGGCAAAGTTGAAGTTAAGATACTGTTTGCTTTAAAGGAAAAAAATCACTGCCTATGAATTATCTTGTCGACCCCCAGGCCTGAAGCTTAGTTTTGACACAGTTCACAAGACTATGAAATCACAAAAATAACCTTCACCAGTTTGGATAGGAAATTACCCTACTGGTTCCTCTACTGGTCAATAAAATTGCAGGGAAAAAGTTTATCCCAATGTCTCTACCAAATCCTCCAGTCTTTTATCAGGAACAGTAACAGGGATAGACTTGAAAAATGAGGTTCAAGTGTAAATGTGCTTAAAAGCACCTATTTTTTTTTTTTATTCCATGTCTTTATTTGAAGTAATTTTGAGTCTGACAAGTATTTTTTAAGCCTATGCCTATTTTGAAAAGGCAGTTTAGTATTAGCAGGTGCATTCCAGCACCTCCTCCTCATCAGCAATATGTTGACTTTCTCTTTTCAACCTTTATTCTGCAGGAAATGGCATTACCAATTGTAAACTATACATTTACCAAGCACCTACAGGTCTAGAGCCTTAGTCTGAAACTCCAATACATAGGAAAATATGCGTTTTACAAGCACTGTGCTTCGTGTAGGTGTATGTTATCCAGCAGAGAACAAGGTACTTTGGGGTTTTGTACAGGAGTGCTGAAAGGAAGTGAGCAGTTCTCAGGGCAGCATGTCAGGTTCCCCTTTAGAAAGAGACTGACTCCTTTTAAATTGAATTTACAGCCTGTTTAGAAGCCAAATAACTCCTGAATACATACACATCAGATGTGTGTGCATATATATGTATTTTTTTTTTTACATTCATGTTTATACATGCATGCATACAAACATTCTAGGCTTAAATGATTAAACAATAATCTGAGAAAATGTTAAAATCTATTAAGGGAGCACTGAGATATTGTATTAGAGACAGGTACATATTGAAAGCATTTACTAAATTTAAGCTCTGACTGCACATTTCAAATACTGCATCCTTCAACTGTGTAAGTATGCCTTCTGCAAACTCGAAAAGTCCACAGCAAAAAGGTGTGTATTTCTTCAAAACATGACAGATGTAAAAAAAATAAGACATTGATAAGTTCATCATATCATGGTGAATGTCTTCTTCTCGTACGGTTGAAGTTATAGTTTGTAGTCCGCTTGAAAGTCTTCTAAATACCTGTCAGCAACAGTCTACTCAGGGAAAAGGGAGGAAGATGAACAGATGGCAGCCTTTAAAGTTGTGGATTAAAGATAAATTTAATGCTAAAAGGGAATTACTATTGTTTAAAATGCAAAGCTTTCTCTTTATTCTTCTCCAAATTGAGACTTCAGGCAGTACACTTTCTGACAATCACATTGTTCTTAAAAACACTCCTTTCTGTAATCTAAAGGGTTTTAATTTATGAATATTTTTTACTGCAGCATTATAAATACATTTCAAAAACTATCACACAGCTAGAACACATAGTGCTGCATTAAGCACAGACTTCAAAGTTCAAGGACTGTCAGAAATAAATATTTATTGATTTGCCTGCCAATATTACTTCCCTTTTCACTAGATCCATCAGACTAAGTAAAACACATGGGGTTAGCAGGACTGTAAACATTCACAGGACTGAAGCCAACAGATCACTCAATGCAGGATTTTTATGATTTGCATTGCTTGAGAAAATATTTTAACACACTTGCTATATGAAATATACTATAAAGAGTGGCAAAACTGGTAAAAAAATGGATTTGGTATGCAACAGCTGCATATGGGACTTTTAGATTTTTTTACATTCTAATTCTACTTGCTTGTATTTTAGGGTAAAATTGTGTCATAAAGAAGGTAGTACACTATGGGTAGACAGTTGAACTTCACAACTTCAAGATAGCTTACTAAAATATGACAAAAATCTTGTGTTTTAATGGTCCATTGGAATAATATTTGGGTATTCCTGTATATCTTCAGGGACTAATAATATATGTTTATGAATATGCTAGACAGATTTTGTCCAGTCTCTTCTTTTGATTTTTGATAAAGTGTTATCCTCCAATGAAGTGAGTACATGACTGAAAACAGGCCCCAAACTAGATTTTAAAGGTTCTTTTTTTCATATATAAGGCCAGCAGAACAATGTGAAATGTTTGATGCTTTTTTTTTTTTTTCAGGAATATAACTATCCGAACTAGTTATGTTAGCAGGAATGCTGTGAATTGTAGCCTTGAGTTCACTATGTAAAATGTAAGACACACAAACTCACAGGAAAGGCAGCCTCTGAGTCAGAATTTTAATTAAATCTTAAAATGTTTTCTGGAACAGTATAATCTTTGATGTATTAGATATTTAGTGTGAAATTAAAACAAGAGTTTTGGATTCTGAGAAAGATACTAAGGGCTTTAATCTTTAATACTGGCTTCAAAACCAGTGAAAGCTTCTTCTTTCAGCTGCCTGCTTCAAAAATGCATGTGTGTGTGTGTAGACTAGGACACCTATAACTTACCATCTTTTGTGGTCAAAGTTTGTTTCTTTAAAAGCTTTCCATCCAGGGATGTATCAGGCAAGCAGCAATTTCCCAGGACAGCCAGAGAGATCTCAAATTTCCTGCAGCATAAAGAAGTGCAGTGGCCATATCTGCCAAAGTTGATTCATTTGGAGAGGCTATCCTTCCTCTTAGTTTTTTAAAGCAATTCAAAAAGCTCCCACTGCTGAGATGAAGTATTGGACTGTGTTTTAATAAGGCATTAGGAAATGGCTAACTAATAATACTTTTAATGTGCAGTCACTCATGCTGGTGCAGGTTGGCAGCCTGCAGTGTCGCACGGTGCTGTGACGTGAGCAGGTGACCTCAGGGTAAGGAGGGAAGGGACGGACCTGGGGAGGCAGGCGCCAGGGAGGTGCTCCAGCAGTCAGGCAGGGATGCTGCAGCTGGGCAGCGCCGGTCCTGTCTCCCGGTCGGTACAACTTTCACAGATTATCCCAAGCCGCCGTCTGTCAAAGGACAGGGGGATACACATACCTCAAATATTTACGGTGCCTCTACTTTGAGAACGAGACAGTTCGTTCACATCTGTGAACGGGCCACTTTTAAAACATCAAAATAAACCATCTGGCTGCGCAACTGTTTCTAATTACTTCCCTGCCTAGACTGTAAACTTCGGGGTTTGGCACCGGCCTCCTTCCCAGAGTGCTGCCCAAATCCCGCTCCCAGGCAGCTAATCGGAGCCGCTGCAGCACGGGGGGAGCGGCGCTGGAGCCGGGCTTGTCCAGCGCAGCTCTCCGCTGCCTGCCGGGTCTGTCCGCCCGTCTGTCCGCCCGTCTATCCGCCCGTCTGCAGGAGCGCCCCAGGTGCGGCTCAGCACAGCCCGCACCATGCTCGCCCCGGAGCCGCTGCTGCTGCTGCTGCTGCTGCTGCTGGGCCCCGCGCTGCCGGCCGGGCCCCCGGCCCTGCGGTAAGTGCGGCTCTCACGTCCCCCGGCGGGTGCCGCTCATTTTCAGGTGCCAGGAGCGTGGAAGCTGGGCTTGCGGAGGGAGCGGTGGAGCTGTTAGTTGGCTCGTCCTCTGCCTCCTTCGAGGTGACACTGAGGGAAGCGCTCTGGGTCACTGGGAACCTCAAGAGGTAGGGGCATGTGCAGACTGCAGAGGTATTTGCAACAATGCATTTGATGCCCAAAATGCACACTCTGAAAGTACTGATGGGGGAAGAGATGGCTAATGATGACTCTTCACACCCAAACCTCCCGATTCTGCTGCTTGAGTGGAGCAGGCACCTAACCACAGAACCCTGATTATTGCTGCACTTTGGTGCAGTGGGACAGTGAGGTGCACTGCCCTTCACTCTCCACCTCCACTACAGCCAGCAGCTCCTTTGCTCCAGAGCCTTGCAAAATCTATTGGAGAAGGGCAGGTTCTATTACTCTACATCTTCAGTATTCCGTAGTGTTGTGGAGACCTGTTTTTGGCCTGAGCAGTCCTTTGTCTTTCTTCCCATGATTCAGCTCCTGATGAGGCAAAGTGTGATTTTCCTTGAGTATGTCCTGAAAGTCCTGATCTCCATGTGCTCCCATGCATGGTACAATTGCAAATCTACAGATCTAGAATCGGATTGTCTTTACTAAAACCACAGCCACAACCTACAGTGTTGCGTGGAAAGCCATGATTACTTTGGTTTCCTTTTCCACTGGAAGCATGGATCATATATGTCTGACAACCAGAAGGATTACTTTGGCAAACATATTTTATTAGAATCAACTTTAAATGTGCTGTATGGTATATATTCCTGTTATGCTCCCCAGGTGTTTGGATGTATATGATGTCTCTAAACTTTTTGAAATAATTAAGACCAAAATGTTTCATGATGGATAATCAAACTATAAGTGTCTGTGCATATATACCAGATATGCCTGATGGGAAAGTAGATGAGGCCAGTGTCGTTAAAAAGGCAACTAAAATAAAGTATAAGCATTCTTGTGGGTAGCAATGAGGTTTCTGATGAAAACGAAGAAAACTGGGTGATTTGAGGCAAGTAATAATTTGCAACTGTAGCTGAAGAGGTGATAAGAAAATATTCTGGATATTGGCTGAAGCCAATGACAGAGTGGTTTTAAATGAGCCAAGCTCTCATCAGCTCTGAGCTGCAGCCCCTCGTTTGACTGCTGCTTATTCTGTTTGCTGTCCCCCACAGGAGCGCTTTGGGAATTCCTGCTTCCTGCCGGCTGTCCCGGGCTGAGTCGGAGCTCAGGTGCCGTGTCCCAGGGGGGAAGCTGTGCAATGACAGAGGCAGGTGTGAGTGTGGAGTCTGCATCTGCCAAGTGACTGAGTCTGGCAAATACTATGGTCCGCTCTGCGAGTGCCACAGCTGGGTGTGCGAGACCTATGACGGGAAAATCTGTACAGGTAAGGAAACCCTGATGGTGACAGAAGCATAGAAAATTAGGGGTATATATTGAAACCAAGAACACAGCACACTGATACAGCAGGGACATGATTATATATGGATCCTTAAAATATGACTCTAAAAGGAATTGTGGGCACGTCCAAGGATTTTGCCAGATTAAAGGATGCAAGTTAAATGCACTGTGTCTGCCATAAAATGGGACTTAGCTTAGAGCAAGATTCATCTGCATCAGGGGCAAAAGGAGAAGTTGATTTGGGCTGGAGGCTCTGCAAACTATGTTTTAAAACATAGGCAATATAACTATGTTATATTGATCACATTCTAATCTATTTTTTCATTTTAATTGCTTGCCTAATGATGGCTTATGGTATCTACCCTGGCTATGGTATCTACCCTGGAAACAATCAATTTTGTCCCATGATTATTATTTTTTTCTTCTCCAGCTATAAGAAAAAAGACTTACTGTGGTAAGATGTACCACAATCATATTTACTATATAAACATGAAAACTCTGTTTTTCTCTAAGTAATGATAATACTTTCCAAATAATGACTTAAAACAATATAATTGTATTGTGGTTTCAGGGATTTCCCCACTGATACTGTATTCTTTAATAACATATATTTCTTGGACAAAATTTAGTTCCTGCCAGTTGTTGGAACATGTTTGTTGGTTTACATCTAAACATTATCACTCTTTCATCTTTCCAGCTGTCTTTACTTAAGTTTCTGGGTTATTCTGGGTTATTTTGGTCAGATTTTTTTTTTTTTTAAGCAGCTTAGAATAGGATTTTAGAAAAAAGCAGGGAGAAGAAATGCCATTACATTCCTAAGGGGATTCAGCCTGGAGCTTGATGAAAGGGGCCAGAAGGGTACTTCATTTCTAGTATCCCTGTTTCAACAACTTTACCAGATTCACAGAAACGTGTCATCTTTTCAGGCCAAAACTTGCAATTAGGTCAATGGGAATGTTACAGAAATTCTTCTAGTAAGAGGACAATACAGATGCATGCCAGCAGATGGTTTGGCAAATTTTGTAGGAAAAAAGACCAAACTTACTTTAGCAACAATTTATCTAGGAAGTCCAACAATAACATGAAAAGACCAAGAATGGGATTATGAGAAAAAGATTTATATTTGGCACCTGTGGCTTTAAAGTTCTGTAGAGAAACTGATTTATAGACTCTGCAGTAAGCAGTGTTAAATCCCCCTACATAAGAAATATCATAGCATTTCACTGCTTTGCTGTCTCAAACATGAATTTTTTTATTAGTAGTGTTATTTCAAAGTGCTTGCTGTTGTTGCTGGGTTAATTGCATAAAGGGAAGCTGAAAACTACTTCAGTTTTAACAGTCTAATGTAAATTCCACCATCATGTTCCTGTTAATATCATGAACAGTGGCTGCAAGTTTTGTAAGGGCTTTGGTGGAAAAGCAGCACTTCATGCAGCAGTTCAAATATGTGAATGCTAAGTGATTAAATGTTTTTTTGAACACAATTTTCTGTACTTGTCACTTTGTCACTCCTAGCTGGAGTATTGAAGCCATGTTACCACATTACCACTGACATGTGAAATAATTTGAATTCTCTCTTCTGGGAAAAAAAAAAAGTAGTAAAAAATTCAGTACAAAATCCTGGGGAGGCAAAAAACTGTGAAGGGTACAGGAGTTTCGCTTTCTTCATTTGGGTTTATCAACAATTGTGCTAAAAATCCAACTGACTTTGTTGCAGTCCAGGGCAGCCCAGCAGCCCCAGGTACTCTTTTGGAGCTGGGATCCAGTTGGTGAAACACCTCCTTTCAGGCTGTACTTGTTGCCCTCTTCATTTTTCCCCCATGTTTTTAGTCATTGAAGTTGTGTGTATGTGAGAGGAAGGGAGCATAGAAAAAAAGGTCAGATCTAGGATAACTGGCAGGAGGAGACTGTGTGAATATTTTCCCTTACCCAACTATTCAGTGAACTGCATCCAGTGATGTTTCTTAACATTACATCACCAGACCAATTTCCAGTGTATGACATATTTCTCTTTCTTTGCATTTTTTGGGCCATTTTTTGACTTAATGATGAAGTTGTGTTTCCTCCTAGTGAATTGTCATAATGTCTTAGTGCAGTTCTATTTCTGTTTCCTGCTTTAATTTTCTTTTTCATGTTTTTATTTTACATTTGCTGTCCCTTTTAATTGCGGATCTCTCCTGACATAGGCAACAGCAGTAACTGCTGACTGGTACCACATGGAGAACTTCTAGAACTTCCTTCAATCATCCCTCTAGGAAAGCTATGGTATTTGAGGCTAATGCAGTGTAAAAAGAGCTACTTTTCAAGCAGCCAGAGTGATTCCTTTTTCAAGTGCTTGATGTCTGATCACCAGTGATGTTCATATGCAGAGATGGACAGGCAAAGCGGTTTGAGTCACAAATGCCAAAGATAGCTGTGTTTCCCTGCCAGTCAGCTCAGACATACCTCCACTTCCCTTGCCTGTCCCAAGGCAAACAAAAGATTTAGTTGCTCAATATGCAGCTCATTATCTTAAAGGCGCTTTCTGTGTCAGATCCACTTTCTGGACCAGTTGTTGAACAATCATATTCTGAAAAGAGAAGGCCTGAAGGGAAAGAAAATATCAGATATCCATCTGATTGATTTGCTTTTTCTAATAAACCTTTTATAAAAATGGGAAAGAGATTATGCCATGAGTAATGAAGAGCAGATTTAAATGTTGCTGTCCTTTTACTTTTCCTTGAGACTTTGCTGTATTTCTCTCCCATTATGATTCCAGGTGCTTTACAGGGAGTTCCAAGAATTTTCTTGCCTTTTATCCCACTGGGACTGATAACAGGTAACAAGTGATCCCTCAAGGAGACAGAAATAAAGGAGAGAAAACAAGTACTGTGTGTGGTCTGAGTCACTGAGTCTCCTGTCCTCCTCCTGGCCTTTTTATTTGCTTTATGTATCATGGGGTGTAGAGGAAATCAAGTAGATACTGTCCTGTCATTCTCTTTGCAATGTCAGGGACATCTTTATTTTATCTTTTGTGTTCAATCTTCAGGGGAATGAGCTAAGAGGAGGAAGACTGAATCAAAACAATCATATCCCCAAAGGATTTATGCTTCATTCAGAACAGACAATATACTTGTTGCTGTTTATTTGCAGATAGTTGTTCTGACCTCAGACAGTTGCATATTGCCTCAGGCTTTCTTAGCATAAGTGGAGCCTATATTGTGTGCCAGGGAAAGTGGAATAAATAATAAAGTGGAATAAAAACTAATTCCTGTCACATCACTGCTTGATGCCTATTTCTCTGTAGGGTTTTTGCAATATAGTGGAAGATCAATTTTGGTGGATTTTTTGTGGGGTTTGTTTGTTTGTTCATTTGGGTTTTTGTTTGGCTTTTTTGTTTGGTTGGTTTGGGTTTTTTTATTTAATCTTTTTTTGCTGTGTCTGTGGTTAATGAAGATAGAAAAACTAAACTAAGCATAGACTTCCTTAGCCAACTGAAGTGGGAACACTTTAGATGTTAGAAAATGCACCACAAGAACTGCCAGCTGGGACATCTATGATTGCACTGCTTGGAGTTGGTGAGATCAAAAGACAGGTACAATTTGGTGATGACATAGGCAGCAACATATGAAGATTTGTCTTTGCTCAGGACTTTATTTGTTATCTTATGTTTTTTTAATAATTATTAAGATTTTATAAACCTTTTTCTTCCAAACTGAAGTACCTTTTACACCTACTGAAAAATGGTGGCACAGTCTGATTTTCCAAAGCAGTTTCTGTGGAACTTTTCACGCCAATAAAATAATTTTTTCCTGTTTCTTTCTCCAAAGCTGTAGTTGCTGTGGGTGCTGTACCTATTTTAAGACTAGTTCAGCAATATAATACCAGTGTTAGTTGTAGGTTTTTGCAGCCAGAAGTGTTACCATACATAACATGAAGGACAAAAAAATTTAAGTGCCATTATTTCCTGATCTGTAAGGTTTTAAACTATAGAGAACACAAGTGAAAAATTAAATTGAGAAAGAGTAGATGTAGAAATAACAAGATAAATCCAAATTAAAGTATTAATGTGATACATAGCTATGCATCCATGGGAGTTTATTGGATGTATGGTACTATATACCAGTTTGAGAGAGTTAGGAATTTGAAGATGGAATTTGGAGAACATTTTGGGATGAGGCCTGCTCTTTGCACAGAAGCTGAATAGTGTCTTTAGGGAGAGCTGTTGAATTTGAGCTAGAAAGGCTCTAACAAATGTGCTTTTGTATTCATACTGAAGGGAGGTCTGACATGTTGATTGTTCATTGAGCAGCACTTATTGCTAAAAGTGTGAAGAAAAGTCAGCCTGTGACCTGCATTGGTTGCCATTTGATCCAAAGTGAAATTCAAAGCCCTGGATTTTGAGAACAGGTATAAGCCTCTTCTCTGTCAAAGGCCATGTTTGCAAAGATTCAGCTGTGGCACATCTGGCCATTGTAGACAAAACCTCCTTTAAGACCAAGTTAAAAATAGGGCAGGAGGCTACTGATGAAAATGGAGGTTGCAGTTCTGCTCTGACCTAGTTTGCTTTAGTCCGGACTTCAGAACTTGGCATTTTGTGACATTTCCTCCCAGAGCAGGGGTGTGTAGGTGTGATAATGACATCCATATTCATCTCAAAACAGGTTCCTCAGGTTCTAGTAGAAGTGAAGTCGTGATAGCATATACCTCATTGCAGGCTCATTTCCTTGCTGAGTGCTCGAGGTCCCAGCAGACACAAAAAGCACAAGCTAGAGCCTGTATTATTCTCAACTTCGTGCTGTTGGTACCTGATCTAGGTAAAATCAACCAGTCTTTGATAAATTGACAATTGCCATTCCAATTGCAGTGTGTGGGTTCATAGCAATGGTGGGTGAGGCAGGAGGAAACTTAGACACAAAAACGGCAGGGGGGATTAATGGAAGGGAAACATCTTAAAAGTAACTTACTGAATTTTATGTACCTAGTTGCTTAGCCCTCATTTTGAGC